AGTTACTAGCTTATAGGCTATTAGCTATTAATAAATTATTTAAACTATTATTAGCTTTAATTACCTTAAGTAAGTTACTAGCTTATAGGCTATAGGCTATTAATAAATTAATTAATAAGCTATTAGCTACTAATTTAGGTATTTACCTATTAATTATTTTACTATTAGTAAGTATTTAGCTATTAGCTATTAGATTAATTAATTTAGAACTATTAGTTCTTATTTTACTACCCCTTATATTAATATTTATAAAAGCTATAAAAAAGGCGCTTAGTAGTAATAGTAGTAGAGTAAGAAGAAGTGTAAATTTTACCTACTTATATAGATATTCTAGTGCGTTACCTAATTATAAAGCGCCTAGTAAAGTAATATTAGTATGTTCTATTACTTTATCTATTTCTTTATTAGCTTCTTTATATAATAAGGATTAATTACTAGCTATAATTAGCTTATTAGTTTATTATTAAATTACTATAAGATTAGCTTTATAAAGCTTATTAAGTAATCTATTTATTAATCTATTAAAGATTTATTTCTTATTAAATATTATGTTATATATAGTAAAGACCTTATTTTACACTAAATACTAGACGTAATATAAATTACTAGATATATATCTAATAAGGAATTTAATTTACATACAGGCAGTAAGCTTTTACTAGTAGTTTTATAATAGTTATACGTCTACTGTTAGTATGTACGCTTAGTAGCTATAGGCTTATAGATATAAAAGATCTAGCTTTACTATTAGTAAAAGCTTAGTATACTTATTAAGTATAAAATATAAGTAAAATAATTAATATAAGGATTTCTACCCCCTAGCTACTAATAGCGTTTAATTATAAAGGTATATAGCTATAGTTATAATTTTAGGCTATAGGACTTTAGGTAATTTTATATTAATCTATATATATTACACCTTAAGTTTAATAATTATAGTAATTTACTTAGTGCTACTATTTTAAGCCTAAGTATTTACTACTAATAGCTTAATAAAGATTCTATAATTAAAGAGCGTATCTATAAGTTACTTAAGGCGTAGGATTTCTTATTTAGTCTTAATAACTTTTAGTGTAATTAAATATTTAGTTTTTAGTATTATAAAGAAGCCCCTTATTATTAAGTTAATAGTATCTTAGTAGTAGCTATATAAGTAGAAATCCTATATAAGGCCTATTACCTAATCTAAGATTATTATTACTAAGCAGTATCCTATATAGCCTTATTTAAGATTATAAAAGTCTAGCGCTAGGTAATTACCTAGCGCTATATTTATAATAGATTTATAAGGCTAGTAGTAAATCTACTGCCTTATTTTACTAAGACTATATAAATTATAGTCTTGTATTATTATAGTATTAACTTAGGTTAGATATACTCTATAAGTAGTATTTATAATCCTTTATAAAGCCTTAGTACCTAGGTAGCTAAGACGCTTATACTATATTATTATATTACTATAAAGTAGTTATCTCTATGTTAACGTTATATATTTATTTCTTACTTATAAGGTTAGTAGTAAATTATTAGTAGAGTATATAGTAAAAGCGCCTTTACTTTCTTTACTAAAGCTATATTACTTATAATATTTAAGCACTTATTAGTTAGCTTATTCCTTAATATAGCCTATAAGGCTGTAATCTATATGCCTTAGGTAATTATTACCTAAGCTTATATCTTACTATATACCTTACTAGTGTAGCCTTATAAAGGAAATAAGTAATATAGTAAATACGCTATAATATATTACGTTATATATATAGAGCTTTATTAGTAAGCTATTAGCGCCTTTTAAAGTAATCTTTATAGTACTATATCCTTTAATTATAACTTAGGTAGTGCTAGCCTAAATATAGTTACTAATTAGGGCTACTACTAATATAATAAACTATAATATATAGTTAAATATATAGTTAGTAGTGCCTAAATTAAGTAAGGCTAAATTACCTAGCTTATAGCCTTATAAAGTAGTATAAAAGGCCACCTTTATATAGTATCTACTATATAGTTAATATAACTTAGCCTTAATTCTCTATACTTATTTAGTAAGGTTAGGATTACTTATAATATACTTATTAATCTATTACTAACGTTATATATTTACTTACTAATTATTAGGCCTTTATAACTTATTTATAAAGTAGTAAAGTTATAATAAATAGGCACTAAAGTATATAGAGCACTTTACCTTTTTACTTACACTTTATTAGTAGTAATACCTCTTGTTATTAAATTTACTATTCTTTACTACGCCTTTAGTATATATTAGGCTATTATTATTATTACCTTTAGTTAGGCTAAATACGCTATAGCCTACTTAGCTATAATATAGTAAGTTATTAGTAAGGGCTTTAACTCTCTTTAGTGCTATCTTATAAAAAGACTACTAGTTAAGATTATTTTAATTACTTATTATTTTACTTATTACTATATATAAATCTAGCTAGGAGCTAAGTAAACTATTTTATAAAGTAGTAGTAAGGTTATTAAACTAGATTAATAGCTATTAGTAGTTAGGTAAATTAACTTATACTAATTTACTATAGGCTGCGTTCTATTTATTAAGCTATATAGTAAGATCTTTTTTAGTAGTTAAGGCCTTTTACTAGGCTTTTACTAACACTTTACTATATTTATTATAGGCGTACTTTATATGCTTTTTTTTAGTTATTTTTACTACTACGCTAAGCTTATTAAGCTATTTAGCTAGTAATTTATTAGATTTATAATATCTTTCTTAAAGATCTATAGATATAGTAAATTTAACTATATTAGCTATATCTTTAACGTCTTTTTACTAAGTAGTATACTTATATACTTCCTTATAATAGTAGCTTATCTTACTATTTAAGTATATAAGATTATATAGGTTAAGATTATCTAGCGTTATTATATATTTAGTTTTATATATAAGCCTATTAGGTATAGTTATAATAGCCTTACTTCTTACTATATATAGCTATATAGTTACTTACTAAGATATCCTAGTAATTACTATAGCTATAGTAACCTCTTAGTAAGCAGTAAGCTTATCCTTAGTTAAGGCGTATAGATATTACGTTATAAGCAGCTTTATTAGTTTCTTTAGATATATCTTAAGGATTAATTAGTCTACTACTATAACCTCTAGGTTAATATACTCCTAGAGATTATAACGCTTTACTTTTACTTAGATAGCGTTAAGCTATATAAACTAATTACTACATAATTATAAGATAGTTACCTTATTATTATAGTTCTTATTAATTATTATAATAGTATTTAATTAGTAAATAGGCATATTAGTTATTATAGACATATATATTAGACTATTAATTATTAAATAGTAGGGATTATAATAGTTACTTAATTAATTATGTTATATGTTATATATTTATAGTAAATTACTATAGAAATAGGGAAAACCCCCTATTTCTTAGTTAGGAAAATCCCTAGCTAATCCTAGCGATATTATTAGTAGACTTACCCTAAAAGTAAGGCTAATTTACTACCTATTCCCTAACAATTTGCTATAGGGCAACTGTGTATTCGCTAGTTAATTTATATATAATTCCGCTACATTTAATAAGTAGACCTTAACTTAAGACCTTTAACTTATAGCTACGTTAGGCTCTAGCTAGGGGAGAAACGCTAATAAGCCTTTAGGGAGTAGTAGTTAGAGAACTACCTAGACAGATATAGACCCCTAGGGCTACAGGCTAGCCTACGCCTAATAGAGGAGCTTATAACGCTCCTAAAAGAACACCTATACTAGCTAATTATAGTAAGATTAAGGTATAGTAACTTTATAGAATACTATAAGAGATTTAGACATAAAAACACTAGTATAAAGTGTAGCTATAGTAAATAAAAGACTTTAGTACACCTAATATAGTATAAGAAGGTAAAAAAAAAAGCTTAACTACTATAAATAAATAGGGAGGAGTAGTTTATAAAGATAATAATAATAGAAGTAAAGTAGTTTATTAGCTATCTAAAGGAGAATAAGTTCTTTAAGAAGATCTACCTAAAGGCCTAATATATACTTATTATATTAACTAGTACTACTATTATAAAAGTAGTTCCTTAGACGTATAGTAGCTAGAGCTACTACTATAAGCCTTTATTAAGTAAACTACTACTATAATAGACTAGCTCTATAAATGGCTATAAAATATCTTAATCTTATACTTTCTACTAAGGTAGATATTAATATAGCTATAATAGCTATAATAATATTACCTAAGTATAGAACTATAAGAACTATAGGACCTATAGAGGATATAAAGGAGGTGCCCTTATCTACCTATAAATATATATTTACTATACTATAACCCTCCCTTCTTTTACTTTCTTTTTTCTACTACCTTCTTTTTTTTTTTTTTTTCTCCCCTCTTTTTTAATATACTATATAATACCTAGAAGCTTACTAAAAGATAATCTGCTTATACTATAAAGGTAGTATATATACCCTAAATTAACACTTAGGGATACCTAATAGAGATAAGGATATATAAGTAGCACTATATATAGAGGTATACAGACGCCCCCTAACTATAACGACAGAAGCAGTAAGGGGGAGACTAAGGCAGAGCTAGGACACTAAAGAGCCACAGGCACTTAACAGCAACAAGCAAGCAAGCACTGATTCCTAGGAGGATATAACAGAGTATATTTATACACTAGAAGTAGACCTGCCTAGGCGCCCTTTGCCCTAAATAGGGACAGTCCGGCGTTAAATACAACAACAACAACAACAACAACAATCAGAACTAGCACTTGTATTAATCGTTAAGTCATCCTCTCCAAAATCTTCATGGACATCTGAGAGGTCTGCTACGACCCGGACAATCAGTCTTGTAGCTCCATTGGTGACATATGAAATCGGGATCGTCTCAATCTCCACGACTTCTAGTGTGTCCTCGTTTCCTCCCGCAGCAATGCAGCGGTCCGCTGCAACAGCTTTGGCTTCCTCAATTTGCGCGTCCATCGTGGAGTTCTCTGTTGGTACAACGACCATATCAACCGAGCCACTTATTTTCCCGATCTGTCCCGTCAGCATCTCAAGATGATCATGGCTATGAGCAACCTACCGCGGCGCCAACAGCATTGGCCACTTCGAGATATTCTGGGCGAATGAGCTCTCCGACTCCCGCAATCTCATCGCTAATGATGATGCTCCCACCACCAACAAGAATTGCTCGCACATCGCCCGGCTTTGTCTTGACAAGATCGATAGCTTCCTCGACAGCCCTGTTAATCTCTGCAAGCCCAGAGGCCTTGGCATGTGACTGTACAAGTCTATCTGTCCGATCGTTGGATAAGATCAAATCTGTTGCCTATGTGCCCTGTTAGCTGGAGAGCGCAGTTTACGTTGTGGCCACCAACAGTAAGAGTCTCCCCTCCAAAATAAACTCCCTCCGATGTCAGGCGTGAGCCTACCGAATCTGGGCCGACTCGAGTTTGTTCGGAATCCGTTCTAACAGCGACCCGCCACCAACAGCAATGCTGTGTACATCAGGTATCGTCAAGTTTGTCCTGACACCCGCAATATTGACGAAAGCAGGAGATTGCCTGGGAAACCCGGTTTTTAACAAGCCGCAAATATCGGTTGTGGTCCTATTTATGTCAACAGACCATCTCAAATTTAGGATTAGTGACTCACCCTCCAATATCTATCACCAGGGTTTCTCTATCGTCTGTATGGGAAAGAGATCCCGCCAGTAGTGCAGCTCCTCTTGCACTATTTGTAGGACCAGATGAGAAGCATCGTACTGGGTGCTCAGCAGCTTCTGAGGCCTTGCTCAAAGTGCCATCATTGAGGGTGATGTGTAGGCTGCATTTGCCCAATTTCTGAGCAGCAATCTTGAAACCCGCGATGACATGGCGAGCAAAACGTCGAAGACTAGCGTTGAGAATGCTTGCATTCTCTCGTTCAAGAAATCCTAGCCTGCCGACCTTGTGAGAGCAGGAGACATCATATCCAGCACCAAGTTCCGAAACCAAAACAGAGGCAGCTTCTAACTCCTGCTCAGGATTTGACGGAGAGTATACACCAACCACAACCAAACTCTTGATCGACTGGGACTTGATAATTGCTGCTTGCTCTTTGAGTTGCTCATGTCGTAGCGTGCGTACGACTCTGCCATCAACTAATCCAATCAGTTGCCGGCCGCTCTGAATGGGCTGATATTTACCTTGATAGCCACCATCTACGTAGCCATAATGGCCTTCCATCAGGTCACAGAGACCGACTGGGAAGCCAACTAATGCGGCTGTTAGCAACTGCTGATAAGTAACTTGATTAATGCACATACCGAATGGAGGAGACCGCCGAGAATACGGTCCACATAGTCGAATCACAGCGACCTTGTCGAGTTTACTTTTGTTCTGCTCGAGAACTGCATTGACAAATTGCTACATTTGTAAGCTTAATCGAGAATCCGCGTTCCCTTACCTACTGTTGTCCCAATCTTGACCGATGAAACTTGACTCGGTGCCATTTCTCCCCTTCGGATAACCTCCCGAATAGCGTGCTCTACGCCCGCTTGAATGTCGGAGGTTGTAGGAGTCTTATACCAGGCAACGACCTGGTCGTTGCGAAGGATGACGGCCTATTAAGTTAGCGGTGATTTCCATGAAGTAGGCTCTCTTACGTCTGTGTTTGTTCCACCGACATCAATGCCGATGACATTTGAAGGGATTTTAGCTGGCATTGTCTATCTTCGATAGCAGGTCGCCGGTATTTGGCCAAGAAGCGCGAAAATCTCGTTAACCGAACGATAATTGATTACTGCGAGAAATTATTTTTGTACCCGGACACGTGCGCATAAGCTGGCCTTGGCCTGGCGTGTGAGACGATGCCGGTTCTAGCTAGAGTTCTCACTGATTTGTTCCTCGGCTAGATAGGAATGGGCATATGTCTGATTGGTTGAAAATGCAAAGATCTGCACTTCAGGTCCGACGCTCTAGGTGGAGAGATTTCCAACCAGGGTGAGTCCCGTTAGTCTATCGGCTAGATAGCGGTTGAGATCGGTTTTGGTAAAACGTGGCTTACCTCCTGATCACTGGCTTACTTGTCGAGTTTCTTATCGGGGTGACCGCCTCACTATTTGAGATTGTTGACAGGTACGGATACGCCACCCACGAAATGGGTTCTCGGCTTATCGTGATCAAGGGTCCACCATCTTAACCCTGCCAAGCTAGCATTCACTTCCATCGCTGCGTCAGATCAGGGTGCCGAGTCGCCGGTAGAAGTTCCTGACCTGAATCACTACGATGACCACAAGATGGGCCCAACTGTCACCAAGAAGGAACTGTACTCTTACTACACCTACTACGCGGGTAATAACGGCATAGGATCTTTTCAATAGTTAGCCATGACAGACTCCGGCTCCTCGACAACATGCTGACGTTCTAGTTCGAATCTCTTGTTCCAGAACCTCATCTACCAGGCCGGTTTCAACCCCAACGTGTTGCCGTTGGGCAGTTCCTCGTGCGACGTAGACCCGACCGCACCATGTCACATCTTCTGGGATGGAGGAACAAAACCGTAAACCTCCGTCGTCTTAATCGGTTCAGGTCTCACCTTTCTGTCCCAAGCCTTTGTGTTCATTGGAGTAGGAAGCTTAGCCGACTATGGCGATTGGAATCCATGGGTTGTGCGCATCTTTTCGGTTATATGCTGGGCCATTGAATTCGCATTTCTCGGGGTCAAGGAAGCTGATCAATGGAGAACCGCCATGGCTCTATACATCTTGAGTGGTAAGCCCTCCGACGTCTCCATCTCTTTCTCAAGTGAACCATGTTTTAGCAATCACTTTTTGGGCTTCCTACGTCTTCTTCAACGCCATCTTTCCCAAAGTCGCCCATGATCTACCCGAAGTCCATAAAGCGCACGAGGAGTTCCTGAACAGGACCATCAGCGAAGAGGAATACCAGCACCGATGTTCAATGGCACGAACAAAAGTCATGAACATGAGTGACGGCTGGAATAATTTCGGCTTCACAGCCTGCGGCGCACTGTCACTTGCCGCACTTGCAGGTATTGGAGCAAACGACTCCGTGGCTCAAAACAACTGGGGCTATTCAGTGTCTGTGGCCGTGTGCACTGGACTCTGGATCCTCCTCGCTATCCCGTGGTTTCTGTGGGAAAAGAAACGACCTGGGCCACCCCTACCTCCAGGAGAAAACTACTTGACCTTTGCCTTCAAGCAAACCTGGTTCGCAGCAAAGCAGGTGTGGACTTTGAAGCAGACTTTCTTCTATTTGATTGCATTCTTCTTGCTGGCCGACGGTATCGGCACAACTATCGTTCTCGTTGGCATTGCGCAGACACAAGTGGTCGCCTTCTCTGCAACGCAGAACACATATCTTATCATGGTTCAAGGAGGATCTTGCATTGTTGGAGTTTTCGGACCGTACTACGTCCAGCAACTCTCCAATCTCAGAACCAAGACCATGCTGCAGGCCGCTAATATTGGATGTGTTCTTGTTGTACTCTGGGGTATAATCGGAATCTGGACCACCAAGGTTGGCTATCACAACATCTGGGAGTTCTGGCTGTTCAACGCGCAGTTCGGTTTCACCATGGGCGCGCAATTCTCATACGGCCAGGCTTTCATGGCCGAACTGGTTCCTCGTGGAAGGGAATACATGTTCTTCAGCTTGCTAGGCATTGTTTCCAAGGGCTCTGCATGGATTGGGCCCATAGTTTCCAGCGCCATTGTCGACGTCAACAACAATGACTGGACCCCTTTCCCGTTTGTAGCTGCTCTGATTCTTGTACCTACGATTGGTATCTTCTTCATCAGCGAGATCAAGAGTCGAAAGGAATGCGCCGAGTACCTTGTCAGAGAAGCCACCACTTTGCGAAAGCTAGATAATGCAGTAGAGGTTGCCAAATCAATCTAGGGGGAAGCTCTGGTGAAAAGGAGGAATATTTAGATCCTTAATAATGTTAACTGCGATGACAAAAGTGAAACCACAGTTGTAACTGCTACAACAGCACTCAAGTACCGTTACGACATGAACTTTCTTCAAATACATTATCTAAACTGGCATAAGTTATAGCTTTGCAAAAGTTTTAACCAGCAATGGAATTGGACGGTGTCCCTATATAGATGGTCTTTCTAATCGCCGTAAAGATATGGTCAAGGTAGGTTCAAAGGCGGCTCTAGCGAAGCGATAGAGCCGAGCAGCCCCGAGCCATAAGCAACGCCACAAGGCTCGAACAACGCCATAGCCATTTTTAGACGCTTCTAGTTGATACCCATGTCGAAAGCCACTAGAGCAAGAAACGTTACATGACTCAATAGCTAAAACGTGGCCTTATATGGGACGCCTGGCATTTAACGGAAGGCCTTCGGCAAAGAGCATCGTCTGCTAGTTCCAACGTATCTGCACGGCCAGTGCAGCCGGAGATGGTATTATAAGAAGTATTTGACGTAAAAGACATAAATGGCACCTGGATCAGGCATTAAAGCCCCCGTTCCAAGAACGAGGACTGGTTAGCCACGATGCTTTTGCCACAGGAAACTCTAAACTAATAGGAATATAGGCTGTTTGACTTGCAGGAAAGCCAAGGTAAAATGCGACGAAGAGAAGCCAACTTGCAAGCCATGTCAAAGACTGAAAATTGGTTGCAACTGGAGTGAGGTGCCGCCGCGTGCCTTAAGCGTTGTCCGTCGACCACGAGAAAGCTGTCATAGATCAGCCATGATCCCATTCTCCGGACCACTTACATCGCCATAATTCATCGAGTTTCCCAATGCGGATCGAGCTTCTTTTCCCTACATCAATCACTTCATTACCGTTTGCTCTCGGTTCCTTGCTTATGCCAACGATTGGGAGGCTAATCCCTTCCAGCAAGTGCTTGTCCCTCTCGATTCTTCTTCTCCAGCTTTGCTTCACTCGATAATTGCCCTCGCTGCTGGCCGCATGGCCAGAGGTGAGCCGCGACACGGTATTTCTGCAGTCAGGCATTATTCAGCCGCACTTCGAGAACTGAATCTTGTCTTGTCAGACCCTAACCAACTAGGCTCAAAGTCTACGCTCGGTGCATGCCTTATGCTGTGCGTCTACGAGGTAGGTAAACACCGGGTGATGATCTAATCTCACTTACAAACGTACATACCTAGATATCCCATTCAGACAGAAGTCTTTGGTTAGAGCATCTCCAAGGGGCAGGGCATCTGATCATGCATCGAGGAGGTCCACGTGCATCAGACGTTCTATCCCGGCTTTTCTCGCTCCTGGACATATCGGGGTCATTATCATCTGGCAGAGCTCCATTGATCGCAGGGAATTACTGGCTTGAATCAAAAAACAGCACACATAATCAATTAAAATGGCCATATTACGACAATGGAGCAATTATGGTAGGGGCCTTTCAGGAATTAATGGTCTCTGTGGCATGCCTATCAAGTCTTTCGGCAGCGTCAATGACCCGATTCGGCAAGCAGAATCCACACATCATCTACGATAGAGCGATGGCTATTCGACAACAGTTGGGCAGGCGGTGGCATTCACAACCACCGGAGTTGCGAGATCAAATAATGACTGGCGAACCCTACCCCGCGAGAAGCCAATGGAAGAATCGGAATTACTAGAACAAGAGTCATTCTCGAGTCTACAATCCTGCAAGTCCGTATGTACCATCTACCTCCAACATATAATCAGCCCGATGGGTATTCAACTTCCAGGATCAGAAGTTGCTGTCGCTGGGGAAAGCATTCTAGCCATTGCCAGGAAGACACCAGAAGGCTACGGGTTGGAAATGGGCCTCCTTTGGGGGATGTTCATGGCCGGGGTTGCCATCTTTGACGATACTGAAGCCTTTACTTGTTGTACAACCCCGGTTCCCTGCAATGGTGAAGAAGGGCGATCGTTCCTTGCCGTCTACAACAGTGCAATCAGCTAGCCAAGCATTTCATCAACAGAAAGACACAACAAGTTCAGATAGACCTAGGCGAGGTAGTCTCTTCGTTCAAGCAGCTATGGCGTGCTACATCGCCGGATGCTGGGGAGGGTGACCCAAACGCGTGTCAAGGTTCTCTGCGAGAGCCACACGCATATGCTAGGGGCGGTATGATTTCAGCACAATTGGCTTTGATAAGGCCTAGCGTGCCCTGTATGTACCCTGGTCGGAATACTGACAGTGCTGAAAGGGCCAGCTTGCTTCGGGTCAACCCCTCCCAGCGTTCAGGGTCCTTGCGGCACCTCATCGGCTGCCACTTTCGTCTGTCATCTCCCTCCAAACAGCGTAATCATGCGACAAAACACAAACACAATGAATATGCCACGGGACATGATAGCAGAGGAGGCATGGAGAGAGAGCGGCTAGAAGCAGAAGCGCAAACCTTTGCGATGCGATGCCGAAAAAGGACGACAGCAGGATATCCAGGCGCAACGAAGATACCGTGAGCACGATTCATTCAGGCTATTGCTGTGTCGAGCAGCAAAAGAAAAGCGGTGAGATGTTGGGGAAAAGGGTCTAACAGACTGAGTCTAGAAGAGTAGCTTTACTCTTAATGAAAAATACTCATTTTATTCTTCATCTTTTGCAAGTGAATAGCTCCGCGGGCGATTGGGAAGTCTTGAGGCCCTCGCGGCAACAACACAACAGAAATCCCCCCCGACGGGGCAGGCACCATGGAGACAGAGTCCAGGCCAGTCCACAATGCTGCCCCGGATTTCTCCATGGTCACAATGACGACCCTAAACGAAAGATCGTCCACGCGGTGCAAAAGACGTTCAGGGCGCTCCAGCCGGACCTGTGACCCAGCCTCGAGCAGATCACCGTCGAGCACCCGTCGTACATCGACGCCTTGCCTTTCCGGCAGCTGCGGAACAACCCTATACTCCGCGAGGACAAGGTCGGCCCGCAAGAGTTCTTCTGTGGCGTCGTCCCCTGTCTCGTGTGCTGGGGCGGCGCTGGCTTGGGTAATTAAAAAGGATCGCGACGCCTCCACTGGCGATGCCTTCACCGGCACGCTCTAGGACAACCGCATCTGGGAGGCCAAGGTGTGGTTTGTGAGAAGTGAGAAAGTATTGGTCTATGCTGGGTGGCGAGGAGGGAGAAATGGTGCGGCAGAGCCAATGTTGGCGGGGCGTCAGAGGCGAGGAGGATTCGCTGGACATAGAAGCGATGGCATAACCTACCCATATTTCGGCCACAAGAATAAAGTTTTTGGTTCAGAACAATCAGGTTTCTGCTTCCTAGTAAAAGGCCTTATTTAATGGACCTAAATTGGACACCACCGACCGATGCCCCCCCTCATTCGACCTAAGAAGACAGAATACAGCAGAAAAGTTAACTTCGGGTCGAATAACTGTGCTATCTCAAGCCTCCAAGGCGGCATCAATAAGCTTCCACGTGTGGTCTGCAATCTTCCCCATCTGCTCCTCTGTACAAACTGGCTTATTCGGGAGCACCCTCCCCTTGTTATCAATATAATGCCAAAAACGCTCGTCTTCCTTGTTCACCGTCGGCGGTGCCGTGACTTTGTCGACGCCATCCATCAGGTACTCTGCGCATTTCGCAGGCGTGACGGTAATGAGCGGAGCAAGCAACTTGGCAGTAGCCCCCAAAACCCACGGCATCTCCCTCATGAGACCCTCCGTGTTGACGCCGCCGGGCCACGCGTGTACGAAATGTCGTCCGGTGGCGGCCTCAGCCTGCTTCTGCTGCTGCTGCCGGGCGGCATACCACTGGACCATGACGTCGTTCATCACCTGACAGTGGTTGGCGGCCGCGCCGAGGCTGAAGTGCGTCTTGAGATCCAGGTCGTCCCAGCGGACCTTGTCCATGTTCCCCGTCCAGCTGTCGTAGACGATAACGACCCTGGCGTCCTCCTTGAGCGCGGGCATCAGCTCGCGGATCAGGAGCTGCTTGCCGTAGTAGTGCAGCGCCATCTTGCGGTCAATGCCCTCGGGCGTCTCGGTCCTGCCGGCCATGGTCATGACGCCCTGTGTCATGATGAGGAGGTCTAGCTTGTTCTTTTCTTCGGCAGGCACCTGCTGCTGCTTGAAATTGTCGGTGAAGCCCTTGATCTCGCGCATCGACGTTGCTTCGATGGGCCGGAACTCCATGTTGGCGTGGGGCATGTTGTCAGGCTGGGTGCGGCCGCTTATGACGACGGACGAGGATGGCGAGGAGGCTGCAACGCGGCATGCCATGGCATAGCCAATGCCGCTTGTGCCGCCTATCACCAGTGCTCTTGTTGTCATGATTGTGTGATCCAACACTCTTCTAGGTACGTTGGGATGGAGTTGCGATGCTTTTCCAGGTGCAGCGGTGGTGTTGGCATGTGGTCAGACTTGGCCTGCAGCCTTGCTTCGTATTTACAGCGGAATGGCCTATTTTGTACACGCCGACCCTCCTAACATTTTGATTCGTCCTGACGTAGACTTCTTTTTCTGATCGCTCACATAGCGTCAGCTACTGCTAACTGACAATGCATAGTGAGCAGATGGTGCCAGGTGGCTGCGGAGTATTGCGCCTCCCTTTGTTCTGGCATGCCTAACGGGTCGTAACGTCGTGTTTTAGCGTGTCATTACTAATTAGTTGTAGAAGTGCTAAACATCCCCGACTTGTTATCTTACTAGGATTTCTTTCAAAGTACAGTGATATGTAATAAGTCTGGGCTCACCACACAATATGCCACCTTGAATAGGTGAACCTAGACTTATTACATATCACTGTATAATCACATACAACTACTCGACATATCATCCCAGGCTTATGGCCACCGTCACCTCAGCGCGTATATCCTCTCGCCTCTTCCGTGCCAACCTTAAACGCTCCTTCCACTCTCCTCCGTATTGGGGTATCCGTCTCCCGTCTCAGGGTTCCATCGAACCTGTTCCCCAGACCCAACTCCGCCCTGACGGAGAACATCTGCCCCCCCGGGACCAGACACCCAGAACTTTGTATCCCTTGGCAGTAGTGGTTTGTGGCAGCCCCAGCTGTCACCCTCCCAAATCGTAGTCTCAGCAATCAGGATCTCTTCCTGTAAGCTAAAAAGCCACTCATGAATAGCACACACAGCCTCACCAAGCGTAACACAAGGCTTCTTTTGTGCTTTAATAGGCAGTTGTGGAGCCTTAATCATAATTAAGTATGGCTGATCCTTGCACTCCTCGTCCTGGCAGTAAAAACTAGTGACGCCTGCAAGCTTAGCCTTATTAACCTCTTCCCAGTTAAAGTCATGCAGCTCTGTCATCTATCGCTAGCCTCAAGGAAGTCGTCAAAGAGACTAAGAGATACTGTAATGTGGGACAAGAGGGGCTAGGTAGCAGGCAGTGAGGCTATGTCGTGGTACGTCTTAGAACCGTCTGAATTCTCAAGCACAAATAGTTGCTGGTTCTTGAACCCCTCGCCTGGAGCTGTGCTATCGATGACGGCTATATCGGTGAGGGGTCCAAAGATTGGCCAGACTAGGAGCAGGGCTTTGGGGCAATCGAAAGCGGCAGACTGGACTTTGTTCTAGAAGTATTCAGACTGCTCGTCGGACCGAGGGAGCACTGTGAGGTTGGTGGTGTCGAGTGGCGAGTAGACGACGTTGAAATGGGCCTCTTCTGTGGAAGACATGGTACAAGCCTTGCCGACTGCGATGTTCTCAAAATAGGAACGGTTGAAAGGAAAGTTTTTCTCCAAAAAAGTGGAGGGGGGTTGGTTAAAAAAGGGCTAATGAGGCTGATGAGGTCAATAGTAAAGATGGGGAGGCGAGGGGCGGCAACTTTAGAGTACTTATATACCTTGTTATGCTCTATATAGTAGAACGCGTTGGTTGTATAGACTTGTTGAATTTTCTGCTGTGCCGCAGGTATGTCAGGTAGAGTGGAGATTTTTAGGGGTAGTTAGGTGGAAATATAATCCCAACATGCCGCATTGTCAGGGTCTTGTTCAAGGGTCTTTTGATGAGGTTCCGATCAGGGCTGGCAAAAAGCTCAAGGTTAGACATGCACTCGGACGAGAACAAATCCCAATTTCTAGCCAATGGAGTTTTTACTTCACCTGACATAGGCCCACCCAAAAACCGTCCGAACTTCCGCGGCGAAAGAACGGGTCAGCTGCAAACTGAACATAGCTTAGCTGGCCCGAAAGCCGTGATTCCATAGGTTAAACAAGTTGAGCCTGGCCTATGGGTCTACGATTTGATTCGAAAAGAGTAAAAGTCCATAACAGAGGCCCCGCCACATGGATCCAAGCCTAGTGTCAGGTTGCTTAGCGCCAACAACATTGCTTACTATAGTATGTGGTTGCTGAGGTGGTTGATTAATGGTTGGTTGGAACAAATCCGTGTCCAACGAAGTGAGACTGCTATAATTCAGAGATGTAATCCAGACCCAAAGGAGTTTCAAAAGCGGTACAATTTCCAACTTGTATAATAATTCTTTAATAATAATAAGGTAATTCTCTAGTAATTTCTAGATAATTATTAGCCCTTTATTAGAGAATTATTAGCCTATTATCTACCTTCTAGTTAGTAAATAGCTAGTATATTGTATAGCTATTAGCCTAACTAGGTAATAGTAAATTAGCTAAGTAATAGACATTTTGTTATATAATAACTAGGCTATTATATAGTGGTTTATTTCATTTATAAATTACCTAATAGTTTCTATAACTAGGGCTTCTAGTTCCCTTACCCTCTAGTAGATCCTTTAGCGCTATAGGGCTTACTAACTACTAAGGCATAGGGCCTTAGCTACTAAGGCACAGGGCACAGACCACTGACGCTATAGGGCACTTGCCACCAGCGCCATATTCTTATTCCTGTCTGTGCATCCCCCACGTGACCTATCTGGACTGTGACACCTTGCCTGGGAAAGCCTGCTGCGGTTTTGACGGTCATGCCGTCATGGGTAGGCCTTCTATAGAGTAGTCCGTGTTATATATATTGATGAACCGCGTGCTGCGGTTTAATAAGCCCGCAAAATAGTATTGCTAAACTTGATGTCTTGCTTGGCCCATGCCGCGAGGCGCGCTCCGAGTTCCTCAGCCTTTGTCAGGTTTACAAGCGCGGGTTGCGCGGAGGTAGTACACGTGAGCTTCGGTGTCGAGTCCAGTTGTCCCGGCGTTGCAATCGGTGTTACTGAAGCCCTCGCAAACCTTGATCTCGTCGAGGCTGTAGTTAATTGTCGTGGCGTTGCCGGTAGACAGCCAATACTCAGGGCTTGTGTGGCGGTAGCCAAATAGGAGAGGGGGCTGACGGGGGATGGGATCATCAACGTGAGTAAGGCGGTACTCGGCGCCAGACTGTGCGGTAACAAAGGTAGCAAAGGCCTCATTGCCGACGCGAGGGGAGCCAAAGGTGTAAATGTCAAGGGGGTAACCGTGAAGACGGAGGTAGGCGCCAGCAATAGTAATAACAGCGCCGCCAAGGGAGTGGCCAACCGCGACGACGGTATAGCTAGGGTTGGCAGTCTTGGTTGCGTTGACAGCATCCAAGATTTCCCCCTTGACCTCTTTCCAGGCAGTAAGGAAGCCAGCGTGAGCTTTGCAGTCTTCCACCAAGTCACAGTCCTCAAAGACAAAAACGAAATCGGTGATCCAGTTACGGACATTGATAGAGCCAAGGATGACTACGATAATTAACTGTCTCACGGGGTCTAAGGCAACAAGGCCTTCTATGCCAGTGGTATAGCCACTAAGTCTGTGTTAGCTCTAGGCTAGGAATCAGTAGCTAATACACACAAGGTACTTACGAGAAGGTAGTAACGATCTTTGCGTCGTTGGCTTGGAGATCGGGACAGGCGTCTGCACTACAGGTGATAGGGGCACCGGGCTCACTATTGCAAGAGGTTGCTGCTACCACCTGGACGTAGTACTCAAAGTTGGCCAGATCACCCGCAGTCACGGCCACGGCTATTGATATGCAAAGTCAGCTGTTGCTCCTAGGACTCTGAACGGTGCTCTTACCTCTCTCATCGAGGGCAGCTGCCGGGGCTCTAGCATCCCTAAGGGGAGTCGCCAAGACTGCGGCAGACAGCAGAGCAAAAAGAGACAGCTTGGCCAGCATGATAACGGGCGTGTGGACTAAGTCAAGACCGGAACACGAGGACTCGGTCGTGAGGCACAAGAAACAGAGCAGTAGTCAGTACAAATTTCGTGGCGCGGTGGCCACGACATAGTATATACATGGGCAGAGGCGGGGACGGAGTCATGGAGTGAGTGCAGTGGGCCGGCGCCGACTCGTGGTCCTTGACGGATTGCAGGACCTGCAGTGGTATCCCACTTTGACTCTAGTCGCCTCGGAGCTTTCCTGGGGGAGATTGGGGTCCCGCAGCAGCCTAGCCTTTAGATTGGAGGTGGGCTCGCTGGGACAAGACTCTGACCCCCAAGACCTTGTTTTATCTAGCCGCTTATTCAATATCCTGGAGCCATCTCGCCGCGCCTCTGGAACGGATAATTCCATCTGCAAGGGCGTGGCCAAAAACAAACAAGGCGCGTGACGGAATGAACGGTACTCCAATATTCAACATAAAAGAGGAACAACGGGCCTTGCATCAGACTTTGCATCGATATTAATCCATCAACCCTGAAGTTTTCGTCGTCTTGCTTGGCCGTGCGGCATGGTCAGAGCTTAGCACACGGCTTAGCCGTGAGTCTGGGCTGTGGGGAACCACTTACCTAGTTTGTACAGATAGGCGCCACGTGAGCCAAGCCCATCAGTCGCGAGCCTTGTCCCTTGTTGAAGTTGGCTACTATGACACGATCTAACCGGTCAATTGGCGAGCCCTATGCTTGTTGTGAAGCCTACTGCGACCTTGCGTCTGTGTCCTTAAGGAGTAAAGTAGTTGTTTTTTCTAGAAAGTAATTTACAACTTGCTCAGGGGGCTTAGTCAGGATTCTCATGCGCTAAATCCTCCCTCCTCACAGAGGGGCAGAAAAAGGGGGATTGTAGCAAAAACACGGGGGTCACACCTACATTACAAATAGTATTACTTTTAGGTATAATATATAGTATGGCTAGCTACTTATTTTCTAAAGTACTACCTATAGTAACTAAATATATTAATAGTAGTAGTATTAATTAACAGCCTTAAATAAGGGGTTTATAATAGTACTTTAAACTTTTTATTCTTATAATAAATATAAACTTATACTTTAAATATAATTAGGCTACTATAAGATATATTATTTACTTTATATTACTACTGCCTTCTTTTTTATAATAATAAGAAAGTAACTAGAGGGTTTAGTACTTACCTAGTCCTTTACTAAGCTTAAATATTATATATAATATAATAGTGTATTAATATATATCATAATTTAGTTACTTATAGTAGTAGCTCTATTAATAGAAACAAGAATAATATATCTTTATTAATATTATTACTATTAACACTAAATATACTAATATATTTATTACTACTTTAAACTTTTTAGAGGTAATAAGGGGCAATATAAAGATAAGAGATAAGATATAAGATAAGATAGTAGATAGGAGATAAGGAATATAGTTATGAAATAATATATTATATTTCTTGCTTATAGAACTAAGACTAACTGTCTAGATAAAGGGAGAAAAGGGGATTATTTATACTTATTTTCCTAAGGCTATCTTAGATTTCTAGAGATTTCTTCTAGATTCTAGGTTATTAACTAGGTTTATTTCTTAGGTTATTATCTAGTTAGGTTATTATTATAAAACACCTTGCTTATATAGTTTTACTTAGTGTGTTTTATTCTTAAAGTAACTCCTTAGGAGAATAGTGCTTTTCTTAGAAGTACTATTCTTTATATAGTGATATTCTTATCTTTTATAATATATAGTAGAGTTTAGAGTAGTTATATAGTTATAGAGTGTATATAGTGTATATAGTATTATTAATACTGTAATATATATTATACTTATATTTAATTCTACTTTATTATTTATAGGTTTTATATAAGGTATTAAAGCTTAATACCTAATAAAACTGTTTTTTATTTTCTTTAAGGTTATTATTAATATTAGTAAGTATATTTAGATTTAAATCTAGCTTTAGTACTACTACTATAGTATTAGCTAATACTTAGTTAATATTATACTAACTAAGGGGCCTTATTAAATATTTAAATTACTTTAGTATATATAGTAGATATAGAGTTAAGTTAATATAAATAGTGAAATTCTTAGACTTTATGTTATACTAGTAATAATTTAAGGTATTAAATAAGATATAGTTATTAACTTCTCTTATAAAGACTAACTAGTATTAGAAGATTAGTTATCTCTTTTTACTATCTACTAGTTAATATTTTATTATATAATATTATAAGTAGACTTTCTTTTTCTTTATTTTAAGCAGCCTTCTTTAAAAAGTCCCTCTACTTCTACATCTCTACTTATATAGTCTTAGCAATTTATTTATTATATGTCTCTTATATATTTATAATAGTAATACTTAATATAAGTAAATATAATAGCTTTAATACTTAGTAGGCTTACTTCTTTCACTATAATATAGCTAACGTCTTATAATAGTCTTTAATATACTACTACCTAGAATTATCGCTATAAGACCTCTTTATAATTACCTTCTTTACTATCTTATATCTCTTTTTTAAATATAGGCTTTATTTACTATATTTTTATTCTTAATATAGTATATAATAAGTATTACTTTTTTTAAATCTATTATTATATAGTAAAAGATATATAATATAGAAAAGTATTTTTAGCTTAGTTTATTATATCTTCTTTACTTACTAAGCTAATACTATATTATTATAAATAGGCTATATACCTAACTTCTTAAACCTATTTATAGTACTCTTTACTATAAAGGCTATTATTATAGTATTAACTATTACCTAGATATTAGCAGTATAGATTAATACTAAAATAGCTAGAATAACTATAGATAATTTACTATAGATCTACTAGATCTATAGAGATATTACGTATTGAATTCGCTATATTATCTTATAATAGTTTACCTCTTTACATATAATTTAGAACTAGTATTTACCTTTATTGTTTGTTACTACCTATAAATACCTATAGCTAACTATATTACTACCTTAGTAATAACTAATACTAGTTAGTCGTTAACTTTATAGTAAGTACTACTATAAGATACTATAGATTAGTAAGGTAATATAAAAAGGGGTAATTGTTTATTATTAACTATTTATAAAGGCCGAAAGTATCTTTTTATATTTAATAGTAATTTAACTTACTACTACTTCTTAGTATAGCTAGTAGTTATAAATACTTATATACTATAGCCTTATTTATAGTTATAAAAGCTCCTTAGTAACAAGCCTAATAGTCTAGGTATTATTATAGCTAATATAAATAGTTAGTAGCTATTTAGTAGCTACCTACTTATTAAGTAATAATTTATTTCTTAGTTAAGTTAAAAGTTAAATACCTAGTGTAGTAGTTAATCTATAAGTAAAAAGTATCTCTTTTATAGTAAATAATAGTATTAGTAATTTAGCCTTCGTAGTTAATATTATTACTATATCTTACTTATTAGCTTATTAAAAAATAAGTCTTCTAAATAGCTTTAGTATATATACTTATAAGCTATAATAGTTTAGTAAGCTATTAGTAAATAAGGTATTTAAGATAACCTTTAATATATTATTTTTACTACCTAGTGTTACTTTATATTTAAGGTAAAGATATTATATTTAATAAAGATATCTAAGTATATAATTTATAGCCTTTTAATAATATAGATTTAGATTATAGTTAAAGTAAGTAAGCTAGCTAGCTATAAAGGTAATATCTAGCTAGTTTATTATTATTATATAAAGGATTATCTTTACTTTCTTTTAGTATTAGTTAACTTCTTATAATATAGCTATATATTTACTAAGTAGTAACTTAGGCTTTATTATAAGTAATAATCTATTATATTATTTATTTATTAGTAACAGTTTAGTTACTTTATTATAATATAGTACTTATAAGAGCTAAAAATAGTAGTTACCTTAGTTATAAATTACCTTAAAGCTAAAGAACTATTATAAAAGACCTTTTTTTTAAGGTAGTATTATTACTAAAGAGCTACTATCTTATTACTTATTTATATTTTATTTATATAGTAATAAGCTAATATATAGTTATTAATATAAAAGAAGAATATAACATAAACTTTCTTTTAATAGTAATTCTTACTAAAGACTTAGTAAAAGCCTTATATAGTAAGTCTTCTTTTAATATACTTTTACTATAGTAAAAGTAATTACTAAAGCCTATATAGTACTTTTAGTATCTAGAGGATTTAGTTAGTAGTTTAGTAGCCTAAAGGTATTTTTATAAATACTACTTTATTAATAAGAATTAATATATAGGCGCTATAAATTAATATATAGGCGCTACCCTTATATAAGCACCACTATACAGAGGAGCCTGTCAATAGTCTATGCAGGAAATGCCAAGACCACCCCATGTCAAGTGGCAAGGGTAATTGCAGGGGTGCCCACCAAAAGTGATTGTGGCCAACATTTCTTGCCCCAAGAGTGTCCCAAAGAGCGACAAAGTTAAGCTAGATTTAAGGCTTTTAATAGCTTTTATTTGCTATATTTTACCTCTAACCGGTATCTGCTAGCTTGCTGGCCCTCCTTATACTTATTACCACTATCAAGGGTAATAATAGCCTTAATATAGGCTAGTATCTGTTTAATCTAAGCCTGGATTTTCTCCTAAGGTAATACTTACTAGCACTCCTGCTATGCCTTTATAGCAGCAGCCTAGTTAACTAGTGCCCCCTTCCTTATTATAAATTATTTTATTTATAGCTAGTAAGGTTTAATAGGGTTAAGGTTAAGGCTATTACTATAGTAAAGTATCTTTTAAATATTATAAGTAGCGTATATATAGTAGATATAGTAGTAGTTATAAGAAGGTGCTTTATCCTCTTAAATAATAGTACTAGGCAGGCACTTATTAGTAATAAATAGGAAGAGCTTAGGTAAAAGGATCTCCTTTTAGTAATAGTACTAGTTAATTCCTCTTTTACCCTTATAGGTTAACTTACTAGTATAAGCGTTCTAGTAAAAAGTTAGTTTACAGCTAGG